ATATATATATATATTGATAAAGTAATTATTGAGGTCGCAAATTTATAGAAATTGGGGTCGAGCGCATACAATGCCGTAAGGACGACAACTGGTATATTTACCGTTTATGAATTATTAAGGCTCGGGTATAGACGGCGAAATATACACACGTACATACACATATAGAGCAGTCTCGGTTGGCTTTGAACGCCAGCTGGGGACTGCGCTCTTCGCGGAGAATATTCATTGATTGAACAAAAGTGGAAGATCAGTAAGTGTAAATGTTTGTAAACAAATTATGAAATTATTTGTTCAGTGCCTACATATTTACACAGTAATAATAAAGATGAAGATTAGTGAAAATCACCTGACTTCTTTTTTCACTCTTCTAGGATTCCCGTCTGTCAATTTTCCACATGATATTATTAATAACAAAAAAAAAAAAAAAAAAAGAAATATCGCATCAGAAACACTTAAAAAAAAATTTCTTTTATAACATTTCCTGATATTTATAAATATTGTGCATGTAATAAATTAATATTTAACGAGAGAATGACGTTAGAGTGTTTGATTTTGATTAAACTTGAAAATATAATGCATCCTCAACAGCCGATATAGGCCAAGCAGTAAAAGGTCTGTACACTTTCTATAACAGGAATCATAAGACGTATCGTGAGTTAGCCAATTAGAGCTAAAAGTTTTTGCAAATTCTTGGCTAATTCTTACGGAAAGTGTGTGCACTGTACAGCAGCCCTAAAGACTATCTGCACACGTAAAAAAGTTTAAGTCGTAATTATAAGATGATATAAGTATATTGAGCAATCATGATCGAGCACTCTAAATCTATCAAGATCGCATTTTTAACTAAGTAATTGGTTCATTTACTTACGATTTTACGGACTAAAACTTTTTTTTGTGTGATGGCCTTTAAATGAATTATTCGAAGATAAGCGAGAAAATCGAAATTATAAATTTTTCATATAAAATTCTTTAAAGTTAGATCTTTACAATTAATTAGTTAACATGTGAAATCAAGTATACATTTGATAAAATTACAATTCTAAAACATAAAAAAAGAAAAATGACATATATGATAGTGAGTAGAGATTTTAATCGGAATTAGAATTTCAGCCAAAATAATATTTTTTGCGATAAAATTAACGGGTTTTAAGATGCTTATTAACATCAGATTATAAATATTCTTCTAAAATATTTATGAGCTGAATATCATTAAATTGCTTGTCAAATATTTAATTTATGATATTATACTATTCTAACTAATTCTGTTAGGATTGTGTTTCAAGACTGAAAATAAAATTCGGCATGCAGTTTGCAAAATTGGATATGCATATAAATTCACACTGAATTTAAGCATTAATGATCCATCTTGACTGTTTAAGACTCCATTTCTTAGTTGTGTATTCGTGTATTCACACACACATTATGGTGAAAGATACTTTGTTTAATACAGATTTTACATTTACAAATAAAATGTGATATACAATAACTTGAGAATATAAAGTGAGATGAACGTAATGTGGTTAAATTATATATATATATATATTTATATATAATTTATGTGAGAAAATGGATCTAAACAAGGAAGTTTAAAAACTTACTCTCTAAACTCTTAAACTAATTGTAAGTTTATTTCCGGAATAACTTTTTTATTTACATTAATCTTTCGGTTAAAAATGTAATTTTTCACAACGAAACAGAAAAATTAAATTAAAAACTGTAAATATATTTACAAAATTATAGAAGTAGATGTGAGCAAAGTTTTTTTGGCAAAAATAAAAACGACGGATCGTTAACGATATATCGTTGAATACGTGCGATATAAAATGTTATAAAATATGATTGTGTGAAAGTATGAAAAAAATAATAAAACAATCCGAATATATATCTAGATTAGTATTAGAAAAACTCGGTCAACCTCGCCGCGCAGAATTAAAGGTACGATCGAGATAATATTCGACGTGGACACTTGTCTCCTGTTTCTTTCCGACTCTTTCGTTTCATCGATCTTATTATTGACATACTAATCCGGTACTCCTTACACATATATGTGAGTCGGTGTGTCGGACTTTCCAAGAAACGACGCAGAAACTTATCCAGCTCCTCACCGCCGAGGTCGTATAAACACACGGCGTCACGAATACGGCGGCTTCGTTTTGAAGCGGCGCGGCGCGGTGCGACGCAGTGTCGCTTTGTCTTTTTTTTTCCTCCCCTTTCTTTTTTCACGTGCTCTACGAAAGGCTTTTCTAAAACGTCGCCGGTCAAGCACGAGAGAGAGCAACCCCCCCTCTCTTCAAATTTAAGGGTAAGAGATCCTCATTGCCGTGCCTCAACAGCGCCGACAGTCGCAGGCAGTAACTCCGACGGTCGCAGTCGGTAGTAGCCTGTTCTTCGGGAGCGACGTGTAAAAGACACGTGCCGTTCATGTAATTATCTAAAGCCATCTGAAGCTCGCGCGAAGCTTGCGTCGATTTTGCTACGAGTTCTCACAGTGCGTTCTCACAGGGCGGATCATGTGCGACATGTTACCGATGCTGGAAGTAAACTCTCTGTTTCCGTTCAACCCCAGCCTGAACGATGAAATCCAGCGGCTGTTCGACGTCACCCTCAATATGAGGCCTCTACCAACCGGTATGTTTCACACTTGATTCCGTCGATTCGAGCCGATTTATAAATATTTATGTGATTGTTGCGAATTCACGCTGCGTTTCATGGAAGAGTATCGCGATATTTACGATTTTGCAGACTGATGCCGTCCGAAAGTTCGTCCTCGTAGCGATTACGTGCGAATCGTAATTAGTGTTCTTTTAGACTATCCTACTAGTTGCTGTAATTACTAACTTTTTGTATTTTTATGATCCAACCTTCGCGCTTCGCTTTTGAATGGAAAGTTATGTCCATTTTTATCAAGATAGACCAACTGAAATCTCGGTTTAATTTATTCTACCTCTTTCTAATTCTTAAAATTCGAAAAAGATGAAAAATAACATATAAACCAGATTAAAATTAAACTACATTGGTAGAAACGAACATAATCAAGCTACATGTATCAAGGTATACTTTCAAACTCTCTAAGGAACTTTTAACGCATCAAAGTTATAATAAAAGTTTTAACTTTATATCTCTGTTAGGAAAGTATTTTAAAATAAGTCTTGCAGGTATAACTTCGAAGAACGTAGAGGGGAAAAAAGGCCTTGTATCTGTTTGCATCTGTATTGAATTTCTTTTTAAATTAGTCTTTTAAATTAACGAGCTTTATTTATCTTCTTTCTACGTTTTTTTACATATTTTTTGCGTTAAAAAAAAACACGAATTTTTTCAATTTAGGTATGCCTGCTTTATTTTCAAGTTTCCCGACTTCTTTAATAAAGTCTTAAATATATGACGATTTCATTTTTAATGCAAAAATCAAGAAAATTAAATATGGAAAATATACTCGCCTAAAGGTGCTTTAGAAAAAAAGGATTAATAATTTTTGACAGAAAAATACGTTTGAAAGATGTTTAAGATCGTTTCGATTATCAGTATGTTAAAAACTTGAAAGATCCGATTCCGTTTCTTTTTCTTGCATGTACAGAAGCATGTAATCGTCATAAGTAATCCACAAATCTGTGAAGTGTCGAAGAATTCGTCTATCCTTGGAAGTTTTCGTCGTCACCGACTAAAAACTATTTAGTCTCGAAAGTAATGATATAAAAAACTAATAAGACATTCCGTCGTTTTGAAATTTTCTTAGAAAGTAAAAAAAAATGAAACTGAAAGGAGACAGACTTGGTAAGCCTCAAAGAAAACAAAATAATTCGAGAAGCCATCCGAACGAATCGGGAATTTTTCTGAACTTTTTTTTTTAAATAATAGCGAATGAAATGTGGCATAAAATTAAAATTATTTAGATAACAATCAAATTTCTCATATAAAGATCACGGAAATATATGAATTAAGTTTCTTGTATCATCGTAACAATACAGCGTAATAAAATATAAAATTCTTTTATAGCTCTTCATTTCCATCTAACACGCTATCATTAGGATATTTATTATTTATTAAATCGATCTAATCGCATCGGCGTATTCGATCGCATTTTTAGAGATTTGAATGCGCATGGCTTGTTCGTAGAAACCTATCTATAACAGATACGAATCATAACACAAACGTAAGAATGTATATTAATTACTCTGCTATAATATTTCTGTTGTCGATTTATTTTCGACTCGTTAACATCCGTATATTTTCCGAGAACTTCTCGATGTAGCTAAGATTACCGAGACCATTTATTGCTCGCGTCAATAAACCGATACATTCTGCTGCAAGGAGAAAACCGCGTTTGTTTACCTTTTTTTTTGTGATACTCATCAATCCTCGTCTCGTTCTGTAATCTCTCGCATCTCGCACGTGTGCATCTGATCCCTACCGCCGTGTATCTTTGTGAACGCGACCGATTGTCTACCACACACCGTGAGTAGATGTATTTTATCGACGAAGAGGGACAAAAGCCTATTGAGATACTTGCAAGGATATGTTTATTCCATGGTTCCGATTGCCGACGTGACAACGACGATGATAATCGTGTCCGATAAACACTCGAAGCCGCCTGGCTCGAAAACGGCTGTGTGTTTACAAACTGCGGCCTATTGAATTACGTTCGCCTCTGCGTGCATCACGGAACATGGATTTTGGTATACTGTAATTTTAAAGTTAAAGAAAAAAATATGAAATATTTGATAATTATATAAACAGTATATATTTTGTCTCCTGATTATCACGTTTGATTTTAATGTTATCTTATGTTACAGCTGTAGAAAAAAAGTTTTTTTAAATCTTAAATAGGAGAAATTCAATTTCTAAAGTTTTCCTTTTTTTTTTTCCTTTTTTTATATTTAATAAATTTTTTTTAACAATCTCGTTTATACTTTATTACAGTTGATGAGGTAATGGAAGATTTTCGGCACAATGGTCGTGACTTCGAATATTGTCCGGATGTGGATACAGACGTGTCAAAACAGAATGCGTCACGGCGAAAAAAAAATAAAAAACCCTTACCAACGGAATGCGTTTTCTGCAGAAACAACGGGGAAGAGGAAACGTACTATCGGCAACACTTGCTGAAAGACGTCGATGGACGCGTTGAATGTCCTGTTCTCAGGTAAATATTGAAAATCTAAGTACGACAATTAGTTTCGTGACTGTGACTAACGCGAGGCATAATAACGTGGAATTTACGAATGATTTAGTACAACGAAGAAGCAAATTTAAACAAATTCTTTACGCTAATTTTATTTTTCTACTAAAATATATAATATAATCTACTATAATATATATCTACTATAATATAATAATATGTAGACGTCTATATCAGAATATCTAATTACAGAAAATATCTATGGGGTGACTATTATAAAAATACAATATATAGAACTACAGAATATAGACATATACAGAGTGTCCCGTAAATTTTGGCCAATCGCTTTTGTGTAAATAGAGCGGACTAAACTGAGTCGAAAAATCCTTTACCATTTTGCAATTTCCGCAATGGTTAACGAGATTAATTAGTAAAAGTCGTTAAATATTGTTCTTCAATAATTGTTTACTCAAATACTATTAACTTCACAGAAAATCTGCAAGAGACAAAAATAATTAATTTTCCTCTCATAGAGAACTCTAAGAATTTTTTATCAACTTTTAGTACTGCATTTTTTTATTTTTATCTATCAGAAAGTACGATATTTAAAAAAATTCTCAGAACTTTACAAGAAGAAAACAAACAATTTTTATCTCTTGCTGTTTTTCTGTAAAGTTGATAGTATTTGAGTAAAAAATTATTGGAAACTAATATTTAGCGATTTTTAATATCTCGTTAATCATTGCGGAAATTGCAAAATGGTAAAGGACTTTCGACTCAGTTTAGTCCGCTCTATTTACACAAAAGCGATTGGCCAAAACTTACGCGACATCCTA